ATGAATAAACAATGATTTTAATGGTCCAAGCATGGCAATTTTAAAACCAGGTTGAAAACTTTTCGTAACTTAACGAAGATTTTTAAAAGGTAATTCCGTCAGTTTTTGATTATTTTTTTACTACAGACAATTCTGCTTGAAAAGTGTTTTAAACTGTGCTTTAGATTTTAAATAGTTGTGTCTCTGTGCAGCACCTGTGTATAAAAGGTGCTTTGTAAATGTCTTTAAACCAGTTGGTTGATTTTCAGTTAATCATGCGGATAAATGTACATAAACCTCTCCTGACGGTTTCTGCTGCTGCTGGAATAGAAATAAACAGGAGTCAATTCTGAACCGACCTAAAACATGTTAATGAGTGAATATGATCAATGGAGCAGCTCCTGACAATATTATCTGAATATTTATTAAACAATAAAATTATTCTACATCAACAGTTTGAAAAGAAATAAAAAGTCTGATCAACTCTGGTCAAAACATTTTATTACAAAATTAAATCAAACAGGAAAAATGTTTTAAACTGAAGGAAACAAACAAATCTTTGTTTCTTTTTCCTTCACTATCTCCGTCTGTCTGACTCAATCTCTTCTGTCGTCTCTGTTTGTCTCTCTCCACCATCTGTCTTCTATCGTCTCTCTCTTCTGTCATCTCTGTGTGTCTCTCTTCGTCTGTCTCCCTCTCTCTCTCTTCTTTCATCTCTGTCTGTCTCTAGTCGTCTGTTTCCCTTTCTCTCTCTTCTGTCGTCTCTGTNTCATCTCTGTCTGTCTCTAGTCGTCTGTTTCCCTTTCTCTCTCTTCTGTCGTCTCTGTCTGTCTCTCTTCGTCTGTCTCCCTCTCTCTCTCTTCTGTCGTTTCTGTCTGTCTCTCTTTGTCTGTCTCCCTCTCTCTCTCTTCTGTCTGTCTCTCTTTGTCTGTCTCCCTCTCTCTCTCTTCTGTCTGTCTCTCTTTGTCTGTCTCCCTCTCTCTCTCTTCTGTCATCTCCGTCTGTCTCTCGTCTGTCTTCCTCTCTCTCTCTTCTGTCTGTCTCTCGTCTGTCTCCCTCTCTCTCTCTTCTGTCGTCTCTGTCTGTCTCTCGTTGTCTGTCGCCCTCTCTCTCTCCTTCCCTCTCATGATGTCTCCTCCGTTCTTCCTCTTTTCTTCTCTCTGCCTCCTCCCTAGCTCTCTGTCCATTCTGTTGTCCTCCTGGCGGCGCCCCCCTCTGGTTGTACTTGTCGTAGGCAGCGTCCTCCTTCTCCTCTTTGACTCTGACAGCTGGAGGAGGACGATGACGAGGAGGTGAGGCAGAGGAGGACGCCCGGCTCCCTCTCTCCTGCTCGACCTTCTTTTTCTTCTTCTTCTTCTTCTTTCTCTCTTTTTTATCTGAGGCAGGAAACAGAAGGAGGAGAAATAAGAATAGAATTGTTTGTCAGGAGGATTAAAGTCGTCCTCACCTTTCTTCGGCTTCTTCACAGGGATGAGGTACTGCTCATCTTCCTCGGAGGAAGAGGACGAGGACTTTGTGGATTTGGGAGCACAGCCCTCCTCCCTTAGATGCTTGGTGACATCATCGATGTCCTCTGAGTCTTTGGGAGGACGATAGTCTTTCACGTGATCCACACGAATGGTCCGACCTTTAATCTGAAACGAACAAATGCAAGAAGTATGACGGCTCCCTGAAGCGAAGCCAAATCATTTGATCGCCCCCTGGTGGCTGGCTGCAGAATATAAGTCATGATAGCAGAGGGGACATGGACCAAACCAAAAAGTAAAGTAGATGTTAATGTTTCTCATTGGCCTCGTCACCTTGATGCCGTTGAAGTTGTCGACAGCGAGGATGGTGCTGCGCTGGTCCTCGTAGCAGATGAAGCAGAAACCTTTGGACTTCCCCGTCTTCTTGTCTCGAACTAGGTTGATGTTGACGACCTCGCCGTACCTGACAGGTCGTTATGGTAATAGAGTAAGTTCTCACATTATGCATGTTGAGTAACGTGAGACAGAGAGCAGAGGTACGTACTGAGAGAAGACGCAGATGATGTCACCTTCTGTCAGCTCGAACGGAAATCCTCCTGCACCAAACAAAAACGCTGCTTCAGTAAAAAGAAAACATGAAGCTCCTGACTCGACCACACTGGGGCGACTGTCTCACCTACAAAGATCCAGGCGCTGTCTTTATACTCCGTGTGCCAGGAAACAGACTCGTTCACACCGAGGTCCGCCTCCCGCTCGTTCAGCTCGTTGATCAGCTTCACCTTCGTCAGCGGACTGAAAACAAACGTTAGATGTTAATGATGATGCTTTACAAGATATCACAACTTTGTTTACACAACTGTAAATAAAGATGGATGACATGACAGCCCCCAAAAGTAGAACTAAATCATATTTATCGCCCCCTGGTGGCTGCCAGCAGTTTGTCCCCAACCTGCATCGTAAGCAAAACCTTATCGTAAACTAATAACTGCTCTATAGTCATACTGTTCATCATTATTTATTATTGTATATTATTTATTTAAGAACTTGTGGCCGCAGGTTTGTTTACAACTGAATATTGAGTCTATTTTAATCTACACTGAAACGACATGAAACCAGAGTCAGACTCAATCACAAGTGAAAACCAGACTACAGGAGCAACATGGATCTGGAGAACCACCAGACTCCATTCAGATTAGGACCAATTTTATGTTCCCACGTAGAATGAAACCTGCACATCTGGGAGTTGAAGATGTTAAATGTAAACGTACGATTCATTTTAAATCAAGGATCAAATCAACTGAATGCGATTCATTCTAATAAAAACGTGTCACTTGAACCAGAAGCGACCGTGAGGATCCACAAAAGGAATAAAAACACATAACATTTAGTTTAGGTGAGAAATCTAATGTTTGGTGTCGGCCGAATCTAAAAACTGCTCTTTCTTGTCCTTAACCACATGAACTGTTGTGTTTCCAAACGCGTTTAACTGCGAGAGGAACATGAAACCATTAAACTGAGAGGTTTCTGAGCGGGGTTCGGTGGCAGCTGCATGGCTAGCGGTTAGCATCGGCTCGCAGGGTGGCACCGGGCAGAGATAAAACGTGAACATGTGTAAAGTGAAATAATCACGTGAAAATAAAACCGTTCACTTACTTCATACTGAACTAACAGAGGAGAGACTGATGCTAATGAGCTAACGTGCGATTCACTGACGAACCATTTCCGCAGAGTCAGCGCCTCTGCTGCCTCTGCTGCCTCTGCTGGCTGGATGTCGCCACTACAGGCTAAATAACACTAGATAACGGATTAATTGTTGTTGTCAAAGTATTTAATATTTTTATTAAAAAAAAATTCTTTACGAATCATTTTCATCAAAAACTACATTTGACGCAGCTTTTTTATGTTTCAGTGAGCCTCCCTCCCACCAGGCGGCGCTGTGCAGCGAACACACAGCTACTGACCCGGTTTGTAAACATCAGCGTGCCGGTTGGTTCAGGATCAGAGAGAGAAACAAAACACGTGAACAGTATTTACGTTTATTTTCTAACTTTATGATAATTATAATAATCTGATCGGTTAAAGCTTCACTTTACGAACTCTCCTCAACTAGTCTCATGGAGCTAACGTTAGCTTAGCTGCTGTTAGTCTCATGGAGCTAACGTAGCTTAGCTGCTGTTAGCCATATGGAGCTAACGTTAGCTTAGCTGCTGTTAGTCTCATGGAGCTAACGTAGCTTAGCTGCTGTTAGCMATATGGAGCTAACGTTAGTTTAGCTGCTGTTAGCTCGATGTGTAGTTAACGTTAGCTCCTTGTAGCGAATGTACATGTAGCTAACGTTAGCTCGGCTGCTGTTAGCATCTCTTAGCATCACAGTGATTAAAGTTCACTGAAGTGACGTCACATTGTCTCAGTGTTTTGTGTTGCACAAACACTGTTGTCGTGACGTGATCAAAGTAAGTGTGTAGTTGATGTAATAATATCTTTTCCACGTGCTGCAGAAATCCTTGTTTCCATAGAGATTGAAATCAGCTGGGACATGACACGTTGCTTTTATCTGAAGCTGTTTCATATATTTATTAAATCTTATGGTGATAAGGAGCATGACTGACCGGCACCAGCAGGGGGAGCCACTATGTCACCGGGGGCAGCAGTAGCTCAGTCCATAGAGACTTGGCTTGGGAACCGGAGGGTGGCCGGTTCAAGTCCAGCATGGACTAAAAGTATGGAAGGTGGACTGCTGAGGTGCCCTTGAGCAAGGCACCAAACCCCCCTCGCAGGGCGCTTCTCTGGGGCTGCCCATCACTCTACCATCTCTGTCCATATTTGCATGCCTTTGTGTGTGTGTGTGGGATTGTGGGTATAAAAAATAAGTGTAAAAAGAATTTCAATAATCACCAAAGTACGTGTTCTTCTTCTTCTTAAAACCATGACAGCTGATTGGTTGTGTCTCCGCAGGATGATCTGTCACATCTTCATCCTGTCGTCGAAGGGCGACCGGCTCGTCTACAAAGACTGTATCCTCCTCGGTCCCAACGAGACACAAGAACACTGTATATGACACATTACATACATGACACATACATACATGACACATACATACATGACACATAACGATAATCAGGTTCAAGCCTCTGAATTTGTTCCCTGAGAAACGTGAAAGAAATAACTTCACCTGTCAGACGTTAAAATGAGCCTCTGTTCAAATATTTCTCTTTATTCCATCCAGTGAAAATCCAAGTGAATCTCTCAGCTCGTTCAGAGATGAATGAATTGATAGTATAAGATTGTGTGTTTCTACTTTTCTTTAATTGAACTTAACTGGTCCATCAGTCCGTGGAGAAGCTGGAAGTGATGTTGTCTGTATTTTCTACGAGAAGATCACAGCGCTGACTGGAGACCAGCCTCCTGTTGTCATGGTTACATTGTCATCAATTAATCAAACGAAACATTTATATCAGAGCTGAAAACAGATAGAATCAAGAAAAACGAAAGAGAAGATGAGCTAAAAAACGAAATTCCAATATCAGCTGACATGAACAGAGTCATGAGAGAAAAAGGTTGAAGTTAACTTTGACTTAAAAAGATTGATTCAATATGTTCAGAGCAACAGAGACAAGTTTTTATATCAGATTATTAATCAGTGAAATAAAGACTGAGACTTTCAGACTGTTTCAGTGAAACAACATGAAGACTCAGAGGAAGTGAAGGATTGTGGGTCACCGATCAGAAACATCTGTAACAGTAATGTGAAGTGTGAGGTAATACAATAATAATACTTTCATATATAATATAGGACTCAAAGAAGAAGAGAGCAGGATTTATATCAGGAACCAATTTACAATGAAACATTTTCCTCTGACCTGAAACAATTCTTCTGCAGAGTCACAAACATCTTCACTTCATCCACGTCAGGCAGGGAGGACTGTACTGGGTCGCCACGACGACCGACGACTCCTCGCCGTTCACCGTCATCGAGTTTCTCAACAGGTTCGAGTTTATGGTCTAAAGTATTTTAGATTTGAAATAAGAACAAAAGAAGCCAATATAAATATGTAATAAAAATACAAATATCACAGACAGTTTATATGTATCTCCTCATCTATATGAATATATATCAGATGTGTCAGTTATTATAATAATCATTATCACACTGTTCGTATAGTATAATCATGTTTTCATGTCAGACCAAACATCTTTACTTCTTTGTCTCAGTATTAACGGTCCAGGTCACATGACAGTAACACACGTGTGTCCGCAGGCTCACGGCTCTGGTTAAAGATTACTGCGGCACTTTATCGGAGAAGTTGGTGCAGATGAACTTCGCCCTCATCTACGAGCTGCTGGACGAGGTGGTGGTGAGTGTTGCTGCCTCTCGGACAGAGCGACTAGTTTTCATCAAACTGAAGTTACTGGTGAAGCTTCAGACTGTCGCTGATGAGCTGCTCAGATGTTTCAACAAACTGAAAGGAGACATGATATTAATTCAATTCAATTCAATTTATTTGTATAGCGCCAAATCCTAATATACATTATCTCAAGGCACTTTACATAGAAGGTCAGGACCTTAAAATCAAAATATAAAGAAACCCAACAGTTGAACAATGAGCAGCACTTTGAGACTGTGGAGGAGAAACTCCCTCATTAACATGGAGAAACCTCTAGAACCAGACTCAATGTGGGCGATCATCTGCCTCGACCGGTTGGGGTGAGCAAAGAAAACGGGGGAAGGAGATGAGAGAGGGGTTGGAAAAGAGGGGAGAGAAGAGAGAGGGATAGTGGGGAGGGGGAAGTAGGTGAGAGAAAAACTGGGGACACTTGGGTGCCATCAGGTATCAGATGTGACTAGTTAAAAATGGAACAACAGTGTAAAGACTATTAATTACTGTGGATAACAGACACATTTGATATCATAATGAATTACTGAGATATTGTAATTAGTAATAGGAGAAGTTGTTGTCCTGAGGTTCTGGAGTGAGAGAGAAAAAGAGAGAGAGAGACTATGGGAGGACAAAGGGAAATAGTCATTGACATGTATTAAAATAAATAAATGAGTGAATGTGGGGGGGGGCAGAGAGACAGAGAGAAGTGGAGAGGTGCTCAGTGGATGATGGGAGTTCTCCCAGCAGTCTAGACCTATAGCAGCATAACTAAGTGATGGTTCAGGACTCACCTGATCCAGAACTATAGACTTTATCAAAAAGGAACGTTTTAACTTTAACTTTAAATGCTGAGATGGTGTCTGACTCTAGAACCCAGAGTGGGAGCTGGTTCCACAGGAGAGGAGCCTGGTAGCTGAAGGTTCTACCTCCTGTTCTACTCTTACAGACTCTAGAACCACAGGAGAACCTGTGTTTTGGTAGTGAACTGATCTATCTGGATAATGAGGTGTTATCAGCTCTTTGACATATGCGGTGTTTGGTTGTTAAGGGTTTTAAAAGTGAGGAGCAGGATTTTGAATTATATTCTGAATTTTACAGGGAGCCAATGTAGAGAAGACAGGAGTAATAAGATCTCTCCTTCTACTTCCTGTCAGCACTCTGCTGCAGCATTTTGGACCAACTGGAGATTTTTCTCAGACTTCCTGTGACGTCCTGATAATAAATAGTTAATCTAGTCTAGAGGGAACAAAAGCGTGGACGAGTTTCTCAGTGTCCTTCTGAGACAGGATGTTTCTAATGTTCTTAATAGTGTCCAGGTGGAAGAAAGCTGTCCTAGAGACTTGTTTTATATGTTGGTCAAATGTCCTGGTCCAACAGAACTCAAGGTTCCTCACAGTGGAGCTGGAGGACAAACTGACACCAAGGTGACTCTCTGTTCAGACAGTGATTCTCTGAGATGTTTAGGGTCAATTACAACGACCTCAGTCTGAATTAGAAGTAAGAAGTTCTGGCTCATCCAGGCCTTGATGTTCTGGAGACGTTCCTGAAGTTGAACTAAGTGATTAGATTCATCAGGCTTCATAGAAATGTACAGCTGGGTGTCATCTGCGTAACAATGGTAGTGTCTGTGGTGCTTTCTGATGATGTTGCCTAAGGGAGCATATATAAGGTGAAGCGTATCGGTCCAAGGACAGAACCTTGTGGATCTCCATGACTAACTTGCATGTGCATGGGGGGGGGGGGTCATAAATATGATTGAAACCAGTCTGATGTTCCTCTGATCCCTTCATGTTGTTCTAGTCTCTGTGATCTTATGATCTATGGTGTCAAACGCTGCACTAAGATCCAACAGGACGAGGACAGAGACAAGTCCATCATCTGAGGCCATGAAAAGGTCATTAGTGACTTTTAACAGCTGTTTCTGTGCTGTGATGGATTCTACATCCTGACTGAAAGTTTTCCAACAAACCGTTTCTATCTGAGTCGTCACACAGCTGGTTAGCAACAGCTTCCTCTAGGATTTCAGAAATGAAGGTTTGATGTGGGTCTGTAATGAGCTCAGACCTCTGGATCAGGCTTTTTCAGCAGAGGTTTAATAACAGCTACCTTAAAAGCTTGTGGTACATACCCTGTTAACAAAGACATGTTAATCTGATTTAATCTAGTTAATATTAATCTGCGTTACTTTCCTCTACTGTGTTATTAAGGTTTTTATGTAAAAGTTCTGCAAAATTAAAGTAAAAAAGAACTCAACCTGAGTATAAACTTAATATGTCTCCTTTAAAACGCATGATGAAGTTTCCTCCTTCATTCTCCATATTAGAGTAAAAAATATAGAAAACAGCTTCATCTCAGGAAAGAGAAAGTTACTCTGCACCTGTGTGTGTGTCTGTGTGTGTGTCTGTGTGTGTGTCTGTGACAGGACTACGGGTACGTCCAGACGACGTCCTCTGACGTCCTGAAGAACTTCATCCAGACTGAAGCTGTTTCCTCTCGGCCGTTCAGCCTGTTTGACCTGAGCAATGTTGGCCTGGTGCGTTAACGTTAACAACATTCAATTGATTGTTTTAGTTTGGTCCCATCTGCTAACATGGAGGAGGAGGAGGAGTTGATGACCTATACTGCAGCCAGTCACCAGGGGGCGATATAGATATTTTTTCTTTAGCGGAGCCATCTTTGTTCACACTGATTATTTACCAGCATGATACAGTTAGAGAGATGAGAGCTCTGTAGATTTACACTAGTCACTGGGCTCGAGTGTAAAAACATCATACGTCATTAATGTGTAAAATATGAATTCCATTCTCTAAAATGTAAATGACAGACAAAGAGAATCTTGTATATTTCTGCAGCTGCATCATTGAGGCAGGCGGAGTGTAACTTTGTCAATGAAAACATAGGGCCCCATTTTTACAGTGCAGTTAAATGTGCAGAGCTCAGGGAGGTGACGTTGAGTCTGGAGCTTCTGGAAACAGGGAGGTGAGATGATTGGAGTGTTAGCGGAGGAGAACCACACATACTTTGATCCTTTAAGTAGCTTCATCCTATGAAATAAATAGTTTACAGATTTACCTTGTGACAGCCCCCCCCTCTCTCTCTGGGACTCGAACATTCTCCAAAGTGACTGTACACTGTTGTGTGGTGCACACTCTCCTTAAAGGGACGGATCAGGGAAGTTAAGCAGCGTGTGGTTGGTTCAGTTGATCTCAGTCAGGACGTCTCAGTCTCTCTGTCTCCAGATGCTCCGACTCGTCCTGTCCCCAAAACAACAAATGCTCTCAGTCAGGTCCTGAAAATAGGTCCATGTGTTTTTATTGAGTAGTGATGTCAGAGGTTTCCACCACAGTGTGTCCTCAGAGACAGTGTGTCCTCAGAGACAGTGTGTCCTCAGAGACAGTGATACATGCTGCACAACATCAGGAGAATACGTCCTTTTCTCTCTCAGAAGTCGGTCCAGGTTCTAGTCCAGGCTCTGGTGCGGATTCTATCCGGCCGCTGCAGCTCACGCAGAACGCAGCAGCTCGACTGGTCTTCAACCTAAGTTCACTCCGCTCCCTTCGCTGGTTACCAGCGGCTGCATCCGCTTCACAACACTAGTACTTGTTCCGTGCTGTGAACGGATCGGGTCCAGTCTACATCCAGGACATGGTTAAACCTTACACCCGGCCCGTCCACTCCGCTCTGCATCGACCAATCAGCGGCTCCCTCACTGAGCGCTAACACTCAACAGAATCACGACCGTTTTCTGTCCTGGCCCCTAAATGATGGAACGAGCTCCACATTAACACCAGGCCAGAAAGTCTCCACGTCTTCCACCACAGACTAGAGACTTGGTGAAGAAGAAGATGTTTAAGTCAAGTTAAATTTACATGTTGAACATTTTTTGTCTTCAAACTAATGTTCTGTCTTGATTCTTATTGTTCTGGTTTGTTCCCTCATGCTTGATGCACTTATTGTAAGTCAGCTAAATGATATGTAATGTAATATGATGTAATGTAACTACACACAGTCACACGTTTTTCAGATATTTACCATGTTCTTGTTGTTGCTGTAGTTTGGAGCGGAAACACAGCAGAGTAAAGTGGCTCCGAGTTCTGCAGCTACCAGACCCATCCAGTTGAGCAGAGAGCAGGTGAACGAACAATTATCTTCAATATTTATTGAATTATAGATGAAGCTCTATTTGTTCCATCTACAGCCTGTAGATTTAAAATCCACTGACATGTTCCAGTAAATAGTCTGGTCCCATTTGGACTTCCTGAAAACAAACCTCACAGTTTCCACACATGTTTTTTTCCAGGGAGGAAAGAGCGAGATATTTGTGGACGTGATCGAGAGGATGTCGGTCGTCATCGGCTCCAACGTGAGTAACGTCAACTGGTTACCGCCAGTGGCTCGATCTGTCAGCGACTCAGATGATCCAGACTGAACAGTGAACATGTTTAAATATGGAATGTCTCTCAGGGAGTTGTGATGAAGGCCGACGTGGAGGGAGAGATCAGAGTGAAGTGCTACATTCCCACCTGCTCAGGTGACTTCACATAATCCTCAGAGTTCCTGTCCAGTAGTTTAGCATAGATACGTACATTGTGTTTTATATATCGTCAGATTTAACTTTAGAAAAGACCTGCCTCTACTCTGCCTCTGATTGGCTCAGCCTGAGCTGGCCAATCACCACTCTTCACATCTATACAGCTGACTAATGACAGCAACGAGTACGAGCCAATCAGAGACAAGATAAGTTAAGATTATTCATTCTTGGCTGCTCGTCACAGCAGCGCATCGTCACAATGAGGCTGAAACAAACATTCGAAAGTATGAGATGGAATATAAATAGGCAATAAAATATTCGATATATTTAAATATCAATACAGAGAATATGTATGTAATATAA